ACAGCTAATATCATTCTCAACAGAGAAAAACTGAAAGCTATCTCTCTAATAACAGGAACCAGACAAGGATGCCCACTTTCACCACTCTTATTTAACATAGTATTGGAAGTCCTATCTAGAACAATCAGGCAAGAAAAAAAAATAAAAGGGATACAAATTGGAAAGGAAGAAGTAAAACTGTCACCATTCGCAGATGATTATTTTATATATAGAAAACCCTAAAGAATCCACCAAGAAACTTTTAATTAATAAATGAATATGAAGTTGCAGGATACAAAATCAACACTCAAAAATAAGTTGCGTTTTTATATACTAACAAGGAAGCAGCAAAAAGAGAAATTAATATAATACCATTTACACTTGCAACAAAAACAATAAAATATCTAGGAATAAACTTAATCGAAGAGGTGAAAAATTGGTACACTGAAAACTATAAAACATGGTTGAAAGAAATTGAAGAAGACACACAGAAATTGAGGGATATTCCATGCTCTTGGATTGGAAGAATAAACAAATGTCCATACTTGCTAAAGCAATCTACAGATTCAATGGAATCCCTATCAATGTTCTAACGACATTTTTCACAGAAATAGAACAAAGAATCCTAAAATTTATATGGAACAACAAAGGACTCCGAATAGCCAAAGGAACCCTGAGAAAAAAGAACAAAGCTGGAGGTATCACACTCCCTGATTTCAAAATATAATACAAAGCCATAGTAACCAGAAGCAGTGTGGTACTGGCACAAAAGCAGGCACACAGATGGAACAGAATCAAGAGCCCAGAAATAAACCCACATGTTTATGGACAACTAACATTCAACAAAGGAGCCAAGAGCATACAAGGGAGAAATGAAAGTCTCTTCAATAAATAGTGTTGGGAAAACTGGATTGCCATACTCAAAAGAATGAAAGTAGACCATTATTTTACACCATACACAAAAATTAACTCAAATATATTAAAGACTTGAATGTAAGACCTAAAATCATGAAACTTCTAGAAGAAAACACAGGCGGCACGCTCTTTGACATCAGTCTTAGCAGCATATTTTCAAGTACGATGTCTGACCAGACATGGGAAACAATAGGAAAAATAAACAAGTGGGACTACATCAAACTAAAAAGCTTCTGCACAGCAAACCAAACCATCAACAAGACGAAAAGACAGCCTAACGATAGGGAGAATATATTTGCAAACCATATATTTGATAAAGGGTTAATATCGAAAAGATATAAAGAACTCATACATCTCAACAACAAAAACATTAACAACCCAATTAAAAAATGGGCAAAAGATCTGAACATTTCTCCAAAGAAGATATACAGATGTCCAACAGGCACATTAAAGGATGTTTAACATCACTAACTAATAGGGAAATGCAAATCAAAACCACAGTGAGATATCACCTCACTCCCCTCAGAATGGTTATAATTAACAAGACCGGAAACAACAAGTGTCAGAAAGGATGTGGAGAGAAGGGAACTCTCATATAGTGCTGGTGGGAGTGAAAACCATTGCAGCCACTATGGAAAACAGTATGCAGAGTCCTCAAAAAATTATGAATAGAGCTACCATACAATCCAGCTATTCCACTGCTGAATATTTATCCAGAGACCGTGAAAACACAAATGTGTAAAGATATATGCACCCCTATGTTCACCGCAGCATTATTCACCATAGCCAAGACTTGGAAGCAACATAGGTGCCCACCAGAGGATGAATGGATAAAGAAGATGTGGTATTTATACACGATGGACTACTACTCAGCCATAAAAAAGGATGAAATCTGGCCATTTGTGACAACATGGATGGACCTGGAGGGTATTATGCTAAGCAAAATAAGTCAGAAGGAGAAAGTCAAATACCACACGATCTCACTCATAAATAGAACATAAAAACAACAAGAAACAAACACATAGACATTGGATTGGCGGTTACTAAAGTGGAAGAAGGAAGGGAGAAGGGTGACAGAGGTGATTAGGCACATGTGTATGGTGATGGATTGTAATTAGTCTTTGGATGGTGAACATGATGTAATTTACACAGAAATTGAAATATAATGATGTACACCCTAAATGTAATGTTATAAACCAATGTTACCACAATAAAAATAAAGAAAGAAAAAAGAAAGAAAATAAAAATGAAGAAGTGATCAACACTGTAAACTATGGCTGGGGTAAAGAAAATTGCCTGTTGAATTTAACAACATATAAATTGTGGAAAACCATACAAAAAGTTTTCTTTGTTATGAGAACACAATCCAGTCTGGGTAGGCTGAGAAATGCTTTGGAAATAAGAACGGAGTATACAGTAAATTAGTTCTGAACCTGTAAATTATGGTCCTCAGCTCAACTGTTAAGGTTTTACAGAAAATCTATAAACAACTCTGTTTCATTTGATATTCCTAGTTGGCTCTTTCAAAGAAAGAATGTCCAGGTTATCCTCTTCACTAGGTGCCAATTTATCAGTTGACAAACACTTTTTCAAAAGATAATTCAACCAGTTTCATTGTGCCTAAACTATCTACAAGTTTTTTTCTCTCTTCTCTTTTATAAATCTTGATTTTTGCATTTATTCCCTGAAAATAATCCACTAGCGATTTCCTTCATGTGAGTAAATCTGCATACAAAATAGTTTTTAAAAATTGGTTATGAAAGGCAAAAGAGAAATAAGCCTATAACTGGAGGGGAATGTAGCATCAAATTAAAGAGACAATAGCATAGTTAAAAAATTGAGCATAAAGATACCTGCACCCCCATGCTCATTGCAGCATTATACACAATAGCCAAGACTTGGAAGCAACCTAGGTGCCCAAGAAGGGATGAATGGATAAAGAAGATGTGACATTTATACACAATGGAACACTACTCAGCCATAAGAAATTATGAAATCTGGCCATTTGTGACAACATGGATGGACCTTGAGGGTATTATGCTGAGTGAAATAAATCAGAGGGAGAAAGTCAAATACCATATGATCTCACTCATAAGTAGAAGACAAAAACAACGACAAACAAACACATAGCAATGCAGATTGCATTGGTGGTTACCATGGGGGAAGGAGGGGAGGGCAAAAGGGGCGATTAGGCTCCCATGTGAGGGGATGGACTATAATTAGTTTTGGGGCAGTGAACATGATGTAATCTACACAGAATTCGAAATATATTATGATGTACATCCGAAAGCTATATAATGTTATAATCCAATATTACTGCAATTAAAAAAAATTAAAAAAATTTTGAAAGGAAGGACACAACTGAATTGGAAAAATGTAATATATAAGAGAGAATGATTAATCAAATTTATTAAGATAAGAGGAGACAAGATTCAAAACAGAGGTAAAGAATGAGTCTTATGCAGAAGGTGGAACAGTATCTCTGTTTAACAAGAGGAAAGGAAGATAGAATGAGTACAGATGTAAATAACTTTTCGTTTGGCAGCAGTAATTGAAGGCATTCTAACCAGCGGCTTGTATTTCAAGCATTTCAAGTGAATGGGTGAGAGTGAAGATGAAAATGAGACAGGGGGTGGAGGCATTGAGATGATGGCTGAAAAGGGTTGAAGTTCATTTCAGAAATGCAATAGAATTGCCAGGCAGTATTTAGAGTAATTGTGTCTGACCTATTGTGTCACTTCCTTCAGCAATGTTTCACAGCTACGCTCTAGGCCCAAAGAATAGATAATTGCATTTATTCAGTGTTAAGTTTTGTTAGACAAGTGCAATGAAAAGAGCAAGAGGTAAAGGAGATTAGGAAGTTAAGAAATTCACTGCAATAAAGTACATAGTCTCCAGGCTGAAAAGGAAGATGAGTAAAAAGACTGCAAGAAGATACAGGAATAAATGAACTGGTGGTCTTGATGAAGTCAAAGAGTGGCCAGAGCAGAAATTAAAGTAATAATTGGAAAGACAGAAATCTGCAGTTCAAGAATGAGTTGCCTGAATTAGTAATTTTTAAAATAACGCAATTTGGTTAATGATAAGATCCAGAGTGTGACTGAAGTGGGGGCCAGAGGTAAAGATGGGCACTAGAGCTTCGGAGATGAGGAAGTAAAATAACCGAGAGGCCAGGGTTGGGATGGATCTTGCACATTGACAGGAAAAAGTGTAAAAAGAAGAGAGTGAGATAAATCCATGAATAAAATAGATTAACGAGGTTGGTAGATGAAAATAAGAAGGCAGAAGGTAAGCAGAATTGCCCAGGTTGCAAAGAAGTACACATTTTACAAGAGTGCGGGGGAGTGGTAGACTTCACTCCAATCCTACTTCTCTGGAAAGATAATGACCAATCTACTACAGTCAAGAAAGAACTACCACACTCTCCCATTGTCAGCCATATCTGTCCTAAAGCAAGGAGTGTATACGCCATGACAGTCTTCTACTCTGAGGCCAGAGGTAAAATAACAAAAGGTGCTAGAAGACAGTTACAATTTCTATTTTTACTCTTTAATTTTATATCCTAAATATATGAATCTCTTTAATTTAAAGTACCTGGGCTTCAGGAGTGTTTAATTGGGCTAAACTGTAAGTATAACCAAGGGAGAACTAGAATAATTCTATAAATCACTGAAGCTACCCTGGAAATCATTCTGCTATTTTAACAGCACACGTAGTCTTTTTCAAAACAGAATTAAAATCCCCTAAGGTTAGAGACCAGTCTTTCTCAAACTGGTGGAAAAGCACCTGAAAATCCAAAGTACAAAAAACAGCACTAAAATAACATTAAATTTAAATATATATATATAATTTTATGAGTAAAAATATATCAGGGAAAGAATAATAATGAAATTTCCACTAATCAATTTTAGGAGACAATGTGTCAAACTCAGAGCATACCAGATGTATACAAGAATGTAGTATGTAAATCACCCATGTATTCTTTCTCTACCTAAATCAAAAGATTATAACCAAGATACTCAAAAACTTTTAACTTATACTTCAAATTAGTTTTCAAATGAGACAAAATATTAGTTTAATTAACAACTGAGAACTGTTTTACTTACCTCTTCCATCTGATTGACCTGTCGCTGAAACCACTTAAATAAAAAAGGAACAGAAAAAAAATAGTTATTGACAGGTTAAATTTCTGCAGTGAAATAAGTGGGTACACACACACGTGTGTGTGTGTGTGTGTGTGTTTATGTGCATGTGTGGGAATCCTTGTCTTTCAAATATTAGTCCTGAACCAAACCTCATTTATCCTAGGGTTCAGAATGGGGCTAATGTAACATGCAACTGGAACATAAAATTTTTAAATATAGATAACAGCAAGTTTGAGAGTTCTTGTTACTTCTTCAAAATTTAGAAACCTCTTCTTCATTTATATGCATTTATGTATTAAATTTTAGTAGGCTTAAACTGCAATATATTAAACATACCTTAAAAAGAGATTCCAAAATCTGGAAAACAAAGTTTTAATTAAAACAGTTAAAAATAAAATTCTTCACAATGTATTTTATGACAAAATATTTGTCTTTTGCAATTCTCAATCACAAAAATGCACAAGTTACTAAAATAAAACTATAAGTTTATAATCCAAAATGATATTTTAATATTTACAGATAGAGTTTTAGTAGATCTTGCATTAGACAACTCAGTTCTGGAAAAAAAATTACATCCTTATAGATCTATATTGAGACTTAAAATAAGTCACATATATGATTTCATATATTTTCTTAATATAGGTAAGGAATAAAATTTAAATTCCCCTCGGAAAAGCATTGGTTTTTTTCCATATAGCTGAGAGTACCATAACGAAAAGCACTATGTCTTACCATCATTACCTCTTCAATATAACGTTGCTCTGCTAAAGGGCCTAAAAATCAAGATATAAAAACTATACTACTGCTTGATATTTTTAATGGAAAATGCAAAGAACTGGTTTGGGAGATTGAGAGAGAAACTAAATATGCAAAACCAATCACACAGTCCAAAACACTAATATTTACCACTTAGAAAATGTAATGTTAAAGTTATTACATTTGCCACAAAAAAAACAAACTCACTCTATCACATCCAGAAAAAAGATGTGAATTACATTATTAAAGAAAAACATTACTTCATGCATTCAGGCAGGAAAAAAACTTTCTTAACTGAAAAATCAGGCTGGTCTAAAATTTCTCTTCTGCAACACTAATTCTAGAGGAACAGTTCGAAAAGTGTGATCCCAAAACCAACGGCATCAGCATCACCTAAACAATCATATTTGTTAGCAATGCATATTCTCAGGCCCAAGCTCAGCTTACTGAATCAAAAAATCTGGGAGTAGGGCCAGCAACTTGCGTTTTAACTAGCCCTCCCATTGATTTCTCGGCATGCTGAAGTTTGAGAATCACTGCGCTAAATATTAAAAAAGCTTAAGTCTGAGCAAAAAGGGCTGAGACAGTTAAGAAAACATGCCAAAGCAAATTAATGTCCATGTCTAAAGGAAAACATTTTCAGCTATATAATGATTTAGAAAGTAATGTCCACTAAGGCACACTACCTTGGAATAAAGTCATTCTTTCCTCTATCAAGAGATATTCCAAGGTTCTCACAACCTCCTTTGCTATCTCAGAAGATGATGGGAAATGCTAGTATATATCAATTCATCCACTCATTGTAGCCAGAGTTCATAAACTATTTAAACAGCTCTCAACTACTGAGGAAACCCACACCATCAGTTACTGGTACTGCTCAATCTAGAAAATTATTGATAAAAATAAGCAGAAAATGAAAAATGACCAGACGTGAGGAAAACCCACATTAGACAAATAACACTAAATAGAAAGAGAAACCTCTACAAAACTCTGAAGCAACATCTATAAAGTTCCTAGAGAAAATATTAAACCTCTATTCTAAAGATATTATCATTTGTGTAAGCCAAAATGAAACTATTTTCAGAAATTTAAAGATTTAGAAACTATCTCATCATACATTCTAACATAGCAAAACAAAACATTAACCTTAGAAAAATGAACACAAGAAAAAATAATAAGCAAATTATCCAGTAAGTACCCTACTCTAAAAAATTGTTGTTAATGGAGCTGGCATTTAATATGGTTGTTATAAAAAGTTTCTTAAAGAGAAGATGGCATAATATTTTTTTAAAAAAGTAATAACATCTGAAACTAACATTCCAGATAGGTATACTAGCCATAGCCATTAGCCACAGTCATAGAAGCCAAGAGAAGAGCATTTTAAGAAAAACAAAATGGTCAACAATGTCAAATTTGCTGAGGAGTCTAGAAAGGTGTACAATGAATGTAACACCACGGGGGTTATTACTATCATTAGAGGGATAGTTCAATGGACTTTGGGGGCAAAAGTCAAAGTGAAGTATAGATGAACACGAGAAAAATGAACATAAGTATAGGAATTTTTTTCAAGAGGACTGTTTGGGAAGGTAGAACAATACAGGGAAGTACTAGAAGGAAATGCGCACTGAATGGAAAGGTTTTATAAAACCTTGTTTAAAACAAACATTTTATTTTTTCTATGATGTTAACAAGCCATAATCACATCCCCTGGTTACTAAAAATTACTAAAATCAGAGAATATATTTTGATGTATTTATGGACTCTTTGTATTTCCTCCTCTGTGAAATGCTTTTTTATTTCCTTGGAACATTTTGCATTGTTTATCTTATACTTATTGATAGGCAAATGTTATCTATATATTGTGGATAATCCTTTGTCAGTTATATGCAAACCGAATATGTCCCCCTATTTGAAACTTCTCTTGCACCTCTCTTTATGAGTTTTTTACACAACAGAGGTTTTAATTTTAATATAATTGAATTTATCAATCTTTCCTTTTATGACATATTTTGTTTTGTATTCATTCTTTGCTCCAGGTTATAAAGACAGCCTCCTATATTTGTTTCTAAATATGTTATTGTTTCTTCTATTACATTTAGGTTTTTAATCCATCAGAAAATGACTTTTGTATATACTCTAAAGTAGGATCAACTTTTGGGTTTTACGTTATAAATAACCAATTGTCCCAGAGACATTTATTATACATGGCTCTGCCAATAAAATTTTCTTTGTATGGAAGGGTCTATTTCTGAGCCTTTATTCAATTCCGTTGGTCTATCTAGCCTTGCACCAAAAGCACACAATTATAATTAACATAGCTTTATAATTAATCTTGATATCTGTTAGATCAAGTCCTCTCACTCATCCATTTTTCTTCAGAACTCACTTCGTTATTCTTGGTCCACTGAACTTCTATATAAAATTCAGAATCAGTTGTAAATTTGCACCCCCAAAAATGTACTAAGGTATTTAGGGAGTGATGACAGCAAAAATGGAGGAATAGGGAACTCCAAGGGTCTATCCTCCACAGAAACACCAAAAAAGAAAGAGCAAAAATTGTCACAGTCAACTTTGTCAAAACTCTAGAAAATGGTCAAGGCTTTACAGGAACCAAATAAGGCTGGATCAAGAAAAATGCAGCTTAAATACCATAGGAGAATTTTGCGGCATTTTAAGAGCCTTGCCAAACCCCCCCCCCCCCCACCCCCAGTACACGGGCAGTCGTAAAGATGGCAGCCTCCATTCATGGAGTGGGTATGTGGTTCCAGAGGAAACAGAGTGGACCTATTCCCAAGGAATTATGTTGTCTGTTTTGACCTGTCTGGACATTTCCTGAAGGACCTGCAGCTTTTGTCTTTGTTTCATCTAACTTAGAAGTCTCTCAAAGCAGAAAACCGGCTAAGTAAAGGGCATTTCTCAAAAACACTGAAAGAAAAATGAAAAGACACTGTTCCCTGAAGAAAAAGAATATGGTTGTGGCAAACAATATACATGTCAAAGCCTAGGACAAAAAGCTAGAGAGAGAGTTACTTTGAAAAATAAGGGTCTGAAAACCTCCCATGTATTAGCAGGAATTGAGTAAGCCACATACTTGCCCAGAGCAGAACTCATGCTCAGAAAATATCTGAATATATATTAAATTTTCACCTCTGGCTGATCTTTAGCTCAGTGAAACCAGACAATGAAGGCTAAGGCAGAGTTATAAACAGCCTGGTAAGCTTTGAAAGAGTACCCAACAAAGAGCCAATCTTCAAAGACCAGGAGAATATTTTTTTCTCCTCTTCTTAATTTTTTTGTGGCTCTAATAATTCAAGGCAATCTCTGTCAAACCCATTAGCTAACCACAAGTTATAGGAACAGAGACTTGAGAGAGGAAATACAACAAAGAATATAGACTTCAAAAATAAATAGTATAGACTTCTGGTTTCCACTCTGGCATGGAAGGAGCCTGCATTCATCACTCTGTCCTAACAATAAGTAAAAAGTTGAACAAAGTGAAAATCAACAACTCTTCTTAGATCCACCACAGAGTTAAGGCAAACCATGACCCCTAACATTGGAGAGACAGACAGGCTATACTTAGAGTTACAAATTACTAGAGCAGAAATTGGGGAGACCAAACATCCAGCAGAACCAGTACGAGGACAGGAAAATCTAAACTGTAAATGATGAATTTCTGGAGGCTCAGTGTAGACAAGTTTGAGAGTTAAAAACTGCAGAGTAGGGAGGGGGAGTTTTTAGGGGTTTCTTTAAAAACTAAACATACCCTTACCATATGATCTAGCAATTGTGCTTCTTGGTGTTTACTCAAATGAGTCGAAAACTTATGTCCATACAAAAACCTGCCGACAGAAATTTATAGCAGCTTTATTCATAATTGTTAAAACTGGGAAGCAACCCAGATGTCATTCAGTAAGTGAATGGATAAACATACTGGTACAACTATACAATGGATTATTATTCTGCACTAAAAAAATGAGCTATTAATTCAAGAAAAGACATGGAGCAATCTTAAATCTATATTACAAAGTGAAAGAAGCCAATCCAATGAAGCTACATCATGTATGATTCGAACTGTATGAAATTCTGGAAAAGGAAAACTAGGAAGATGTAAAAAGATCAGTGGCCGCCAGGGACTGGAGGTGGGTAGAGGGGCGAAAAGTGGAGCACAGATGATTTTTAGGGCAGTGTATGATACTATAATTGCAGATACATGCCATTATATATTAGTTCAAACCCATAGAATGTACAACACCAAGAGGAACCCTTAAGTAAACTATAGCCTTTGAGTGATAAAGATCTGTCAATATAGGTTCATAGATCATAAAAAACATACCACTTTGGTGTATGATGTTGATAGTAGGGGAAGCTGTGCATGTGTGGGGATAGGAGGTATATGAGAACTCTCTGTACTATCTGCACAATTTTGCGGAGAACATAAAATTGCTCTAAAAAACAAAGTCTATTAAAAAAATAATAGTTTATAAAAGTACTAAACAAACAACCAGAACTCACAGCAAGAAATGAAAACAAAGTTTGAGAGAGGAAACAATCTGATGTCCAGAGTTACCACATTATAATATTCAAAATGTCTAGTTTAT